CTCTCCCTCCTCTTCCTTGTCCTAGTTCACTTCCTTCTCTTTTTTCTCTCTTCTTCCTTCTTATCCTTGTCTTCTTCCTCTCTATTTTTACTTCTTCCTCACTTTTTCTCTTCTTTCTTTCATTCTTCTTCATGTTTTGCTTCCATGTTTTCTGTTGCTTTTATTTTTTGCTTCCTATTTTCTTTTCCTCTTTTTTCTTCCTCCTCCTCCTCCTTTATGCATTTACAAAGCAGAATTTGTTGTACACTGTATTCATATATTCCCATGATAATGAAAGTAGGAACTGAAGACAGAAAAAAACTTTAAAATTTCAGATTACTCATGTAAAAGACTGAAATCAAATACATGTAATACAACTAAACCATACTATACTCTTAATAATACAACTTAACCAGACTAAACACTTAAACAAATCCAATTCTCCCTCAACAGACTGGCTTTGTGAAAGGCCTTACTAGCAGCCCTTTGTCATTCACTGCGGGATTCTGCCACGTGGAGCGTGTCATGCGGAATCTCTTTGTCAAAAAGTTATACCTGTGGCCAAGGTTTCATATGGATGTTAATGCTTGTTTGGAGAAGTGTAAAGTAAGTATTTTGAACCTCTGATTTATATGTAGAGCTATATTTATATAATATTTCCCCTCTAATCCCTCGCTCATTGTTGCTGTGGGCGGGATTAGGAGACGGAGACTGGGGCCCAATGTAGGGGACCACCCTGCGATGGACCTCAGCTCTTGCCTCAATTAATTTTGCATGGTGTTTTCTCCCAGTCGTTCTGATTGTTCATGCCTTGTCACAGTTACATCTGAGTCCCAAGCTCTTGCACTATCTACCCTGACTGACCTCACTGGCAAACCTATTCTTGCCCAACCTCACTCCTCCCTTAATACCTGCACCGGAACTGTTTCCGTGTCCTCAACCGATTCTGCTGTCTACAACAAGAACTTGTCAGACTGTGAAAACGACTTGCCCACATGCCTCCTTGACTATGAAGCAGTGGCAGTCCAGTTGTACACTATTCCTCCCAGAGGCTAACGTAAGTCCTACACCAACATTACCAAAATTAGCTTCCATAGACATGACTTCCCCCATGAAGTTTATATTGGTGGACATCCTGCTCTGTCCAAATATATCGACCCCTTCCCTGTCAGTGTCAGAAATGTTGCCATTTTGGCCACCCAGCCAAACTCTTGTCACTCCACAGCCTGCTGCCCTCTATGTGCCCAGCCTGGTGATGACAGTTCAAATTGCTTTGCTCAGTCACACATGTGTGCCAATTGTGATGACTCCCATAATATGTTTTATAGGAGCTGCCTTGCCTACAAGCCCAAATCTGAAATGGCAGATCTCAGATTCAAAGTAGGCCTCACTCTATGTGAGACTAGATAAGGAGCTCGTCGATGAGGTTTTTCTTCTACTTTGCCCCACTCCCCTCCCATTTTCTCAAGAAGTCTCAGCATCTCCTCCAGTATCTCTTCCCTCTACCCCAAACCATCCTCATCTCTCTCTCCCCCAGTCAAATTCCTTTTCCAGTCTACAACCAGATACTCCAATATCTACCATTTCCCAGATGTCTACCCATCCTCCTTCTTGCTATCTTTCACACCAGTCAATCTAAACATTCCACCCCATCTTCTGCCATATCTCTCCTACATCCACCTCTTCCTCTGTTCCTCGGATATCTATTCCCTCTTCTCCTCCACATAATAAAACCTTTGTTTCTCAGACCTCCCCACCCAACTCCCTTCCAGAAACTCTAAGCATGACCCAAGAGAATTTTCTACTCCCTCATCCCCCCTCCAATCCCTCTATTCCTATTTGCTCTACATTCAAAGTTTTTTCCGATATCCCTCCTCCTCCTCCTAAAGTTCCCCATTACCTTCTTCCTCCCACTCTCCCAAAAAACACCCCTTTCCCTCTTCCTTCCCCATTTCCTTACCACTTCCACCTGGATGCTTCTCCTATCATCAACAGCTACCATTTCTACCAGTATTACTCTGAGTATTTCATAATGGCTCTTTTGCAGTTTTCCTCATACATTGTTACTCTCCCTTCCTCTGATACATACTCTCTCCATTTGGTCTGATTGCCCTATACTTTTAACCCCTTCCCCTTCATCAAATCCCCAACCTATTCCATGTGCTCTCCCCTTATGGCCTTTTCACTACCATTCTATCCTACAGCGTTCTACAACCTTTGACATCTAATACATCTTATGCTAATTTTTGACTCACTTCCACCCTTTTTGCCACAATACTTTACCATAGTGCTGTATGACTTTTGATGTCTAGTACATTTATTTCTTCTAATCATTAACCATTATACAAGATTTGTTTCTTTGTGTGATATTTGGAAGCTGAAAACCAAATTGGGATATTATGGTTAGGTTTATGAACTTTCCCTACTAGTTGTATGTCTACATTTAGAAAATACTTTTTGAATTTGGACAGCCTGAGGTAATTGAGCTGCACCTGAAGATGACTACCCCGGTTCAGCAAATCCAGATGGCTGTGTTAGACCTGATTACTGAAACTGTTCAGGTTTGTTCATTTATGACTGTTCATGTTTATGTATCTGGGATTATGATGCAAAAGATTCAGCTTAACTGGCCCACAATCCTGATATCTCTTGAATTCTGATCATTTTGTTACCTTTTCCATACCTTGCAAAATTATCCTGCCTAGTTTAAAGACTTTAGGAAGGGTTGTTTTACTATAAGAGAAGAAAGAGGTGGAAATGATTATCTCTGTTTTCTCAGGAACTCCGTCGCTCCAACAGTACCATCGACACTGAGGAATTCACACCTGAAAATGCAATATCCAAGTCCTTTGAAAAGATTCTAAAAGTCCAGCTGGAACCCATATGGCACCAGTTATCATCTCGTACAAAAATGTTAATTGCCGATCTGAAGGTCATGAGAACTGTCCTATTGTAAGTTGGATTTTTTTTTTCTTTCTTTCCTTTTCTTTTTCTTTGTATAGGATGCTTTTTTGATTTTGATTACAGTGGTTAAAGAAGTTGAAAAATTATTTACTCTGTGAATCTGAATGACTTTTTATCTTGTCAGAGTTTTAACAATATTTTAAAATATTTCAAGGTACTTGACCCAGTATGATTGCGTCACCTTCTACAATCTCGTAAACTCATTGCGGACAACAGAGGCAGCCATCCAGAGCTCTGGCTGGATGTTCTTAGGGGCAGCAGAGACACTTTTCGTCAATTCAAAACTGCGAGTGTTTGGCAGTGCTGCAAGCCCAACAAAGAAATCTGTTAGGGAAGATAATGCTAAGAAACAGAAGAGGGAATATATAGGTATATAATTGATGATTATAGAGTATAGTACATTGACGAGAATGGAAAAAAATTATGCACAATAAGAATTTCCAAGAATTCCACTTCTTATTGATTTTACTTACAAAATTATGGTATTAATGGTGGATTGAAATTTCTTGCTTATTATAAGATGTTCAATTGTTTTCAGACCAAAATTTAGAGGTTAACCCAAAGTGGCTGGCATTGTCCGAGGTTTTGGCTGAAATTCGAGAAGAAGTGCAAGAGGGAAAGAACTTGGAGAAGTGTCTTGTTGTGACTCATGATGATCGAACGTCACAGCAGCTAAAAGAGGTTGGTAGACTTTTAATTTAGACATATTGCTGCATGATTGTGTAAAATGAGTAATGTGAAATTACTTGTTTTGGTATTGTATATATCATATTAATATTATTGAAAGTGATGATTACAGATTCACTTGAAATCAAAAATCCACATCAGTATACATCTTTGATGATGACAATTACACTTGAGTCTGTAAATCAGAGCATCAATGGATATTTTCATATCATTATCATCAACTTCTATGCAGAGCAATGATTTATTAATCTGAATGTCTTTTGTGATCTAGTATTTGATAGACGGAGCCCAAGTGGTGCTTCGTCGCATTTTCTACCGAACAATTGGTGCAAAGATGGGTTTACAGCCCCCACCCAACCTGTTTAGAGACAAGGATAAAAACATGCAAAAGGACAAAGGGAAAAAAGGCAAGAAGACCAAGACAACTGAAGAGGCAAAGGAGGAAGTGACACTGACTCAGATCACAAAGAAATATGACTTTGTTGGTCAGGATAAATCTGAATTTAGCAACGAGGCAGAAACCAGTGAGGAGGTGGAGGAGATACGAAGGAGATTTCTATCTCCGCTCATCATGGTGCAGTCTTTACGGGTAAGGAAGCTCATGTGATTTATTGAATTCATACATGCCAGAAGGATGTGGTTATAACAGCATTTTATATTTTAATCAGTTACATAAATGCCTTTGATTTTTGTGAGCCTTACCATATTTTATGCTTGCAGGATAACAGTGACCCATTCATGATGACACGGCTGTTAGAGGAAGTTCAACCAAAGTACATCATAATGTATGATTCAGACTTAACATTCATCCGCCAGGTTGAGGTACTGTGGGGTTATTGTAATTTGTCTAGGTGCTGTTAAATTAGTAAATTTATATTTCATAATTGGCTTTGAGTTGTATGAATATGGAGTTGAGATATGCCATTGACTTTTTTTCTTTTTTTTTAGTACAGATAAAAAATTATAGGATGTGGAAATGCTTTCCAGAGATATGATCTTTGAAAGTATTCAAGGATGTCTATTTTATATAGGGTGGGGTCATATTTGGTCTCTGTGGTTATATAAAGCTTAGTTTTCAAAACTATTATAGATTTACTGATGTTTACAGATCAAATGTAATAATATTTTTATTTTTGCATAATTTAGTCTTTCATGTTTTCTGTGTTGGTGTTGTTATTAATTTAATTTAGTCTTTCTTCTCTTTAACCCAAGAATTTTCTTTAAACCCTTCTCTTCATTTTTGCAATTTTCTTGTTTCACAGACTGATTTCTCATATTCCTTCAGGTCTGGCAAGCTAATCATATAGAGCGGATAAGAGTTTACTTCTTGTTATACAAGGGGACCACTGAAGAACAAGTGTATCTCACTA